CTCCCCCGAATTGTCACCCACATGATAATACAAAGCCTCAGGGGCTATTAAATTAACTAGAACATCAACAAAAGGACCAGGAACTGTAACAATAGGCGTCACAGGGGAAGAGACAATAAGGGCAACCAGCAACCAAATGTGCAGAGACCTCACCCGCAGGGTAAACAGAAATAACTTTAAATTATAAAACCTAACTTGCATGGTTTATAAAAGTTTGATTTGAAATAAAATAGTGATTTTGTGATGATTTGATCAATTATCTTCCAATAACCTAATTTTAAAAATTAATTAAATTAAAGGTTTTGAAAAAAAGATAATTGATTTGTGCATGTAGTAAGAATCAACAAGTACAACAGAGGTGTCAATATATAACTTGACCTGAACCCAACCCAAAAAATTCAGGTTCTGATTGACCCATTTAATAAATGGATCAGGTTTGAGTTGGCTTCTTTTGACTCGTTTATTAAATAGGTCATGTTTAGCTTGAAACGAGAACCCACTTTTTAATCAAAAAATGACCCTTTTAATATATTTTTCCTTAATATTTTTGTTATGGTATAATCTTCTTGTTTTTAATCAAGTATTCTAAATTTAATAGTTAAGAAGTTAAAAAAATTAACTAAAATGGGTTAATAGGTAAGATTTGAATCATTCGGGTTGATAGCGGGTCAAGTTAGTGTTGGTCTTTTTGACCTGTTTATTAAACTGGTCAGGTTTGATTTAATTGGATTTAGAGTGGGTCAATTTTAGGTCAGACCTGAATCCGACCCATCAACACATTTTAACACCCTAATGTACAACTTTAAAAAATAATCAAGATTTTTTAAATTATTTAACTATTTTAAACAATTAAAATAATTTTTAAATAAATTATTAAAGTCACATAATATGAAAATAAATGATAAATAAGTTTTACAAGAAGTAACATGATATGCATGTGTAATGAAAAGGTAATGCGTGATTTCCATATATGATACTCAAAATTTCATTATTTCAATATTTAACACCTAAATTTTGCTATTTACATAATCTACCATCCTCCAAATATACTTAACTATGAAATCCTAAGTTTTGCAATGGTTTTGAAGCTAGCGACGAGGAGGTCATGACAGAGATCTTGTTAAAGGTTGCAATGAGGATCTCGCTAAAGGTCTCGATGGGGATCTCGCTAGAGGTCATGATATGGATCTTGCTAGATGTCATTGAAAAAGATATTGTTAGAGGTCAAGGCGATTCTCAAATTAATGAGATTAGCGACATGACAAGCTTATTATTAGACCATTAGAGTGTGAAGAAGGCGATGAGACTGATGATGTTTGATGATGAAGTGATAATATGTTTTGAGATGACATATGAAATTTTAATGAGGTATGGGGCTTTTTTATTATTATTTAAAGTTTTTGTGTTATGTATGTAAATAGTGAAGTTTAAGTGTTAACTATATAAATGGTGTAGCTTTATGTATATAAATCCCTTAATTTTAAATCATAGGTAGATAATGCATGCATGATCATAATCAATTAAACACTTAGATTTTAACTCATTTTAATATTTGAAAAAAAAAAATTAAGCACACATTTGAACATATTATGAAATTAATTACACCAAATTCTATAAATATGCATGATTAATACACTTAAAAACTTTTATAATTTTTAAACATTCTAATTAATTAATAAATCTAATCAGAGCATATTACATTTTTTAAAATAAAATATTTATTAATAATTATGGAAAGTACTTTTTCCTAAACAGCTTGTATTAAGATAAATGTTAGGAAAAGTCTTCAATATGATTGAACTAAGTCACAAATTAGTGCAAAAATACAATGAAATCCTAATTAATTAATTTGACTGGATCCAGCTGGCCTAGGGAAGGATAATCCTATGCTTCAAATTATGTTATTTATTTCATTAGGCTTAATTCCTAAATTAAGTCAAGTTTAACTAAGGCTAAAGACTTTTGTAAAGAAGTGGGCTACGAGTTAGAAACATTAAGCATTTGCGGAGGAAAATAATGGGAGTTATCATCTTCCAAATAAAGTGAAAAAAAGGATGAGAGCTATCATCTAGCAACATTATTCATCTAAGGCCAAGAAAAGTGACTTTGAGTTTTTAGTGAAATCTTAAGGCATACATTCTTTTTTTTTAAGAATATATGAGTTAAGTAGTTGATCTCATATAAAACTTGGACACCATATTGATTATGCCAAACTCCACACTATTGATTTGTTGTTTCAGGTAATCATTTGGTTTTTTTTGTGCTTTATTATTGCTATATATTTCCAATCCATTCTTTATAACTTATGATTGACTAGTTACTATTTTAAAATTTTGAAGATTTAACCAAAATCCATAGATGGAGAATAGTTCATCATGATTAGAATATCACAATGAATCTTAGGATATAAATGTCTATGTGAAGTTGTGTAATCTTTATGATCCCTTGTGTGAAATCAATGACACCTATCAATATTGAATTTACCCTAGAGATAGAGGTAGATTATTTTTAACATGTTAGTGATCCAAGATTTTTTAGATAATGTTAGGGTACACCATAGGATATGATTATACTAAACAGTTTGTATCAATTGATTTGTATTGCAACTTAACCAAGAAGAGTACTCATGATGAAATGTAAGCCCTAGGCTTTTAACCCATAATCTACAACTTTTTGGTGTCTTTTATCGTGTAGCCTTTATTTGCTTTTGAATTTATATAGTTTGCTCTATTTCATTGTCTAAAACCCATAATTTAGATTTTGATCTTTAAATGAAAGTTAGGATTAATCCTATTTTGATACTTTGTGCTTTCAATCCCGATTGGACGATTTTTTTACTCAATCTTTGTTACTTCGTAACCATGTGTTCTTAAATGTGCATGTCATCATCACATGGATCTAATGGGACCACTATTAAGGACATCAAGTTTGAAGTATAGGTCTTATTGGGTCAACTTAAGTTAAACTAGGCTAGTTTGACCTTATGCTTGATCTAGGCCATTCTAATAACTAATTTAGCTTGGTTTGTATATGCTTAACTAATAAAAAACCCATGCAAAAGGTTTGAGCAACCCATTAGTTTAAAATAACCAATTGAGTCCAAGAGTAAGAGTAATTATGTTAGGTTAAATTTTGGTCAAACTTAGGGCCAGGGTTAGAATTAATTGATCCAATAGTTAACTAATATTGTTTCAAACTTGATTTAGCCTCTATAAAAGGATTAAACCATTAATTGACTCATTGGGTCTAATTAGGATTGTTTTAGGGTTAGGTTCAGCCTCAAATCTAGATAAATTGATTAGAAGTGAGCGTGAGACATTTAGGATACTCCTTATTGGTTGATAGTCTTAATTGAGTTTTATGATCAATCAATGTTTGGCCCTTGTTTTTTTTTTTAATTTTTATTTATTTATTTATGTTTGTCCATAGTTGGTATAGTCTAATAGTAAAATTAGGATTTCAATTAAGCTAGCTAAGGGATTATCTTAGGAATAGACCATGCATTAGAATTTAGCTTATCATAAGGAGCAAGGATTGACTAACCTTGATCTATTCAATCACATCAAGCATTGGCGAAATGCTTGTATCAACTTTAGCCTAGGCTAGAGAATCAAACAAAGGGTAACTTTGTTAGGTAAAAACAACTAATTAAGTTAAATAGAAGAGGAACAACCATAGCTAATACACCCAAACATTAAATTTCATTTAATATCATCAAGAATTGATCCCAATGGGTTACATTGCTTATTAGAAAAAAAAAACTTTTCTTGAAAGTCATAATGCTAAAGGTGTCCAAGTTTTATAGACAGAAAATATTTATAGTCTAAGGGAGGATGTGGTTGATTTATACAATGAACCTTCATAAATATGAATACGCACATGGTTGTTAAATCTTTGGCTATCATACCAAAGATAAAGCTAATGACCTAAAAGTTATCGGGTTTCTTCAGTTTACTTTATGCCAAGTTTTATAAACATTCTTTTGCACCATCAAGTCATCATTGATGGCATTTGAGCGGTTAGTTCCAGAGCTGAAATGATGATTTCTATCTTTTATACTATGATACGAAGTTAGATACCTTGTAGATCCAAAAAAGACTAAAACTACCATTACTTCGAAGTAAGGCTTAAAATTGTTGCCACACCCTATATGGGCTAAAATTGTCGATGTCTGGCATGGTCTTCAACTACACTCAATTTAGTGACTACACTAGATCCCTATAGTTTCTTATATAAGTTTTTCACCCATATTAGACACTACCAGCTTCAATTAGGATGATCAACATAAACACTTGTGGTGTTTCTAATTAAACACCATATATATTGAGCGTTTTTAGCACTTTTTTGCGCTGAGCTCCTGGTTAGTCCCTTTCCTAGAATCATGGCGAATGAATTTCCATCACCCCATTGATGAGTTTTCTTGCTTCATGGCTAAAGACCTTTCTAGCTCTTTAGTTGCCTCATTGATGGCATTCTTATCACCTCATCAATGACTCTTCTGACATCAAGGTTGAGGTTACAACTCACATTGGTTGATGGATTTCACTATACTTCCAAAGATCCCTTCTTTTATTCTTGATGACTTTAACTTTGCTTATGACTTAATATGCCATCTTGAACCCTCGCCTTTAAGGTTTCGTTTGTGACAGTTTTTTTGCTGCTTCTTAAAATAGCTTTCTAGTAAAAGAAAGAAAATTTTTGTACTAAAAAGCTGCTTTGAGAAGCAATGAGAAAGCTGTCCCAAACTAAACCTAAGTCACCTTATACTCAAGCCCAAACCACGAGTTGCCTTTCATATTACTTAAAAATTTGGCTCATCATTTATCTGATTCCTTATTTCCTTATTATTGCATTCCTACACAATAAGTCATATGAATTCATATCACAAAAGCATATTAGATTAGATGTGCAACGAAATGATAATTTTATGTATTATCAAATTAAATTCATACAATCTCAAAATTATATATATATACTCCTAAAATTAAAAGAGTCACTGCTTCATTTGCGCCCTGTATGTAGACTAACTGTACTGATCTACAAGTTTATGCAGAAAACAATCGGACAGACGCTGCAAGATCGCCAGCTTACCAAATCGTTCTAGTTCCCTCCGACGCCATCATGGCGAAAACGGAGAACTCGAAAACAAATCTGCCGCATACGCTTTCTAGTAATGCTCGTCCTGGGGCTCTCCTTGCCGACGTCGACCCCGATTCCAGCCCTTCCTCGCTCGAGAAATTCCGCCTGTACGAGACCCGAGCTGTACGAATCCCAAGACTTCCTGTTCCTCGGCTTTGTCTTTCTCCATTTTCGATTTCTGGGTGGAAAATTCATCTTTTCCATGACATTTGCAGAGGTTCTACCTCGTAGGCAGCGATCGAGCCAAGAGGTTCTTCCGCGTACTGAAGATCGACCGCTCGGAGCCCTCCGATCTCAATCTCAGCGAGGACCCCGTGGTCTACTCGCAGCAGGAGGTGAATAACCTCCTCCAACGCATCAGCGAGGGAAATCGAGCCACAGGAGGGCTTACCTTCGTTGCAAAGGTCTATGGCATCGCAGGTGCATTCTTGAAGCTCTGATCTCAATTGGTTGTGTTTTGCATTGTTCGCCCCTAGCATATTACTTTCTCCTTTTTTTTCGTGACCATGGTATTACTTTTTTGTTTGGAAGGTTGCATCAAATTTCTGGAGTCCTACTATCTAATTTTGGTCACGAAGCGCCGGCAGATAGGGGCAATATGCGGGCATGCAATCTATAGCATCGAAGAGAGTCAACTGATAACTGTTCCGCATTCGTCAATCCAGACGGATGTTGCCCATTCCAAGACAGAGCTTAGGTGTTGCTTCCAGTTTTAACTGATTTGGGTGTGAAATTATTGTTAAAAGCCATATTCCCTTTTTTAATATACTTAATATTGCGTTTCTATTTGTGCTTAATTGCGCCGCGCCCACTAAAACCATACATTTTTCTAATTTATAAAGTGATACTCCAGTTTTTTCTTGTTTTCGTTATTGATGTTTTAAATCCCATTTTTGGATGTTTAATCCTAAAATTTGGCTAGTATTGATATTCCTATTAGGAAATTGAATTGCCTACGGAGTGAATTTAACTTATGATTGCAATGATATATACTATCTGGGGCGTGCTTATTATAGATGCTATGGGTCTAAGGTAAGTTGAATCAAATGTTAAGGCAGAGCAATGGACAGAAGTGAGGGAATTAAGCATTTAGTGCAAGGTAGAACAATAAGGTGAGTAAGTCACCATAGAATACATAATTTTTACATTGTGGGCAGTTTGTGGAATACACATATTCAAGAAAAATGGTAAATCAGTGAGAAGATAGTGAAATTTTTTTGGCATATTAGGGGAGAAACGAAATCATATTAAGCTAGGGTGTTGGAGTTAATATGACAGTTTGGAACACACCTGGTAGATGATAAAAAGTTGTTGAAAAGGATTTATTTAAACCCTATTCTATATTAGAAATTCCGCTTCACATAAGTTTGAACAACAAAGAGTGATCCAGAATCTTGGTTTGGGTGGTAAGTATAAAGGCTATGTAGGGTTGATAACAATCTGATTTGTAGTTGATTACAAAAAAGGCTCAAAGTTGGATTGTGGCATTAGCTAATTTGATTTTGAGCTATTCTATTCAAATTAGCTTGATTTTGAGCTAACTCAAACTTGAATTGAGTCATATCAATATATATATACACACACACACACACACAACAACAACAACAACAACATCAAGCCTATATCTCACTGCACAGGGTCCCCTACATGAATCTTTTTTCTTCCTTGTGTCTCGTTAAGAATGAAATTCTCATTTAAATCTAATAAAAAAATCATTTTAAATATTTTCTAATCAAATCTATTTAGACTACCTCTACCTTTTTTAATATGGGTCAAATACAATAAATCTACTCTCCTCATCTGATCATCAGAGGGCTGATGTTTTGTGTCCAAACTATCTAAGGTGACTCTTTAATCTTATTTCCCATTGGAGCTACTCCAATCTCTTAACGTATATACTTATTTCACATTCTGTCTCTAAGAGTGAAGTCACTCATCCACCTGAGCATCCTTATCTCTACAACAATTACTTAATTTTATGTTTCTTTATTAATGGCCAACATTTTGCGTTAAAAAGCATTGCAGGTCTCACCATCACCTTATAGAATTTTCCTTAAGTTTGAGGGGAACTTTTCTATCACACAGCAGGATTGATGCATTCCTGTACTTCAACCATCCAACTTGAATTCTACTAATAATATCCTCATCTATTTTACCATCACTTTGAACAATAGATATGGGATATCTAAAACATGTACTCTTATTAATGTCTTGATCGCCCAAAGTCACAATCTCTTTACTAAATCTTTTACTATTAAAATTGCTACTAAAATTGCACCATAATTATTTGGTTTTTTATTTACTCACACAAACCTTTAGACTCTAAGGTCGACCTTCATAATTCAAGTTTTCCTTCAACACCCTCTCTAGCCTTATCAACAAGAACGATATCATCAACGAAATGCATAAATCATGTTTATGATATTTATATATTGATGAGGCAAGGGGGGGTCAAAATATTTTGAATTGTAAATTTGGAGAGCTTTTAGGTCCTCTATTAGAATCAACTCATTAATGTCTAGTGGAGAGCCTTTTAAGCTCATAAATTAGAAATTAATTAGGTACATTCCCCCTCTCTATTAGCCCTTTGGGTTTCCCTTCTTTGTGGCTCTTTGGTTTTCCTTGTTTGGTTACCCTGGTTGCCTTTTCCTGTTTCCCTGGCTGCTGTCCCGGTTCTCCTTGTGCTGCCTGTTCCGGTCCCCTAGCTACCTGTTCCGGTTCCCCTGCTTCCTCCTCCTTTTGCTGCTATTCCGGATTCCCTGGCTGCTATCCTGGTTCCCCTGACTGCCTTTTTTTGGGTTTTTAGGTGGCTATTTGGGTGCTGCTCCTAGATAGCCACTTGGCCCCTTTTCTCTTATAAATATAAGGTGTTTTGTAATAGAAAAAGAGGGAGATGATGACATAATTTTTGGAGCAAAACCTGAGGGTTTTTAGGATAGCTTGCGAGCTATGCCTCTTCTCTTCGTCTTTCTCTAGGAAAGCTTGCAAGCTTGTCCTCTCCTTCATCTTAGCTTCTTATCTCCTTCTTCTCTCCGCAAGTGACCACTCTATCTGTATCTTTCTTCTCGATCAAGAAAAAGCAGCTTTAGTTGTTTTGTGCTTAGTTTTATGTCCTAATCCCGTGTCTTTTATTTTTGCTTGCAAAAATTAGGGGTTGTCCTAATTTTTGCTTGCATCATATATGTAGACATAAAACATAAAAAAGGATATCACATTTATATTTCAATCCAACTTGATTTTATCCGGTCCTAGGTTGAAATTAGTCCAAGATTGAATTAAGCCAGAATTTTGGTTTGTAACTCAACTTGTTCGGATCATTTTGAGCTCGTTCCAATTTTTAAATCAATTCAATCTTCGTTTTTCTAGTTAAAATCATAGTCTTAGGCTTATGTTGGTGTGAATCGAGATACCACATTATTTTCAACGTTAAATCAAATGCCATAACAATGACTATCTCTCCATGGGAAGATGAACTCTTCAGTAATTAGAGCATGACCCTTGTGGTCCCCTTTGCCCCCTACACCATATTCTCCTCTCCCCCTCCCTCTCTAAGACTGACCTACTTTCCTCCATGAGCTGACATCATCCTAGCCCCAACTCTCTTCTCTCAAAGCTTTTGTCAGCTTTTCATGCTTCTCTATGCAAGCTCAACTCCATCCTGTACAAGAGGATTTAAGATGAAGCTGAGGACCATTGTGGTCCTGCCTTGACTATGAAATATATTGTTTTGTCATTAGAGAGCTCATTGTGGACAGAACATTCTACTCACTAATTAAAAAAAAAAGTGGTACATTGGGTTTTATGTTGTTGATGATGACTATGATGTATTTTCAAATATATAGCTTCTTTAGATGAAGCGAACTTATTTGGTCACAAAAAGTGCTTACTTATTATAGTTAATTACTTAATTTCATAGTTTGTTTACTGTACTGATTCTCTTGTTCTAGGTACAAGAAGCTGTTATCTAGTGTTGACCTCACAAAGGATTTCTTTTATAGCTACACTTATCCAATCATGCAAAGTTTGCAGAAGAATGTGCTTGCTTCTGGTGATGAGAAAATGCCTTATGAAAACATGTTTGTTTGGAACACATTCCTTACACAAGCTATTCGATCAAGGTGCAACAATACCCTGTGGACAATTGCTTTGGTTCATGGGCATTTCAAACTGGTAAGCTTGTTTTCTTATGGATACTATCTTCATTGTATGAGTTTTATATATCTATGCCCTGACTTTTAAGTTGTTTGAGCCTTTGAGTTAAAAATCTGAATTGTCAATATGTGGAGAGGAAAGCACTAGCAAGCTGAAAAAAAGATGAGTTAGGATCATGAATTTTTTTTTTTAGAGAGTGGTAATTCCATCTCAAATCAATTTTCAATATCCTTCAAATGGCGACATTTTTCGTGTTCACTTGCATTTTTTTATTTTTCCTACAAATATTGCTATTAATGCGCATTTCCTTATGTTTGAGCAATTAATGTGATTGGTGTTCTTTTAATTTTTTTGACTTTGATAACAAGTTTGGATGTTCATGCGTTACTTTATATCTCAACTAGAAAATACTCTTATGTTGCAATATATGATAAGATAATAAATTTTTTTTTATTTGTCAAGTAACTTTGATAACACTGTTGTTGCCAATTCTCAAGTCCTATCTGAGAAAAGTGGAGGGTTGCGTTAGGTAGTCGATAGCCAGCATAAAACTTGTCGAATTATCATGACATGAATTTTTTAATACATTGTGTTAATGTTAGGGTGTTCCCTACAAGCAACATGCTGTATGATATGGATACATCGAGAAGTGTGCAAGGGCAGCTGCACCGACTCTCGAGTGTAGTGTTAAATAGGCAAGGGTTCTCACATCAAGGACGGATGGGGGCCAAATAAGCTAGTCCATGAAACTACAATTAAGATATGATCTTGAAATATAGGTTCTCTTACAGGAAATTAATGGAATTAATATATATTATGATTTATCGGAAGATTAATATTCTGTACAGTCAGAAAACTAAATGGGTTGGAGAGAAGGCTAAGGAGATTAATAATTTAGGATTTAATTATGGTATTCGGGTAGGATTCGTACTAGAAATGATATAGTTGTGATTATAGATAAGAGTTTGAAAGATAATGTTATTAAAATTAATAGAATTGGAGATAAAATTATAATTTTAAAGATTGTTATTGATACTAAAATTATTAATATTATAAGTGTTTACATTTCTCAAATAGGTTTGAATTTGTGTTCAAAATTAAAATTTTGGAATGACTTAGAAGAATTAATACAAAAGATACCTCTTGAATAAAGAGTTTTTATTGGAGAATATGTAAATGGACATGTTGGTTGGAGGTAGATGATTTTAAAAGCATTCATGGTGGTCATGGGTTTGAGATGACTGATGAAGGTGGAAAGACCATATTAGATTTTTCTTTAGCTTATGATTTTGTAATTGCTAATACCTTATTTAAGAAAAGAGATGTGCATCTCATCATGTATAAGAATGGATATAGTAAATCTTAGATTGATTATTTTCTTATAAGAAAATTAGATTGTTTAGATTGCAAAGATTATAAAGTTATTCCAAGCGAAAGTTTATGTACCTAACATTATTTATTAGTTTTGGACTTTAAAATGAAGTGCAGAAAATAAAAAATAAATTAAAGCAATATTCTTGGATTAGATGGGGCATTTAAAAATATTTATAAAAATATTTTTGAGGTAACATTTTAGATCTTAAGGTTTTGTTTGGCCATGAGGATGCTAATGTTATGTGGGAAAAAGTGATTAGTAATATTAAGAATATTACAAAAGATGTGGTTGGAGTATCTAAGAAAAAAGTTCATAATAGTAAAAATAGTTCGTGGTGGAATCTAAATATACAAGAAAAAATAAAAAATAAGAAAATATGTTATAAAAATTGATTTTGATATAAAATTTTTGATAATTGAGAAAGATATAAGAGGCATATAAGAAATCTAAGAAAATAATATATGATCTAAAGAGCTTAGCTTTTAATGATTTATATAGTAGATTAGATACTAAGGAAGAAGAATGATATATGTATAAGTTAGTCAAACAAAGAAATATGAGTAGTAAGTATTTAGTTCAAGTGAAGTGTATTAAGAATGAAGATCAAAAAGTACTTTTCTTAGAAGATGATATTAAACAAAGGTGGATGAGATATTTTTCTAAACTTTTTAATGAAATATGTAAAAATACAATTGACTTTAATGACTTTAGCATCCTAAATGAAAATAAAGATTTTTGTTTTTACTAGTGTATTAGTAAAACTAAAGTTAGAGAGGCTTTAAAGAAAAAATAGTGTCGAAAAGCTGTTGGACCTGATGATATTCCAATAGAGGTTTGAAAATGCTTAGGAGATGAATGAATTAATATTAACAAAAATATTTTTGAGAGTAAGATTTTAGATCTTAAGGTTTTGTTTGGCCATGAGGATGCTAATGTTATGTGGGAAAAAGTGATTAGTAATATTAAGAATATTACAAAAGATGTGGTTGGAGTATCTAAGAAAAAAGTTCATAATAGTAAAAATAGTTCGTGGTGGAATCTAAATATACAAGAAAAAATAAAAAATAAAAAAATTTGTTATAAAAATTGATTTTGATATAAATTTTTTGATAATTGAGAAAGATATAAGAGGCATATAAGAAATCTAAGAAAATAATATATGATCTAAAGAGCTTAGCTTTTAATGATTTATATAGTAGATTAGATACTAAGGAAGAAGAATGATATATTTATAAGTTAGTCAAACAAAGAAATATGAGTAGTAAGTATTTAGTTCAAGTGAAGTGTATTAAGAATGAAGATCAAAAAGTACTTTTCTTAGAAGATGATATTAAACAAAGGTGGATGAGATATTTTTCTAAACTTTTTAATGAAATATGTAAAAATACAATTGACTTTAATGACTTTAGCATCCTAAATGAAAATAAAGATTTTTGTTTTTACTAGTGTATTAGTAAAACTAAAGTTAGAGAGGCTTTAAAGAAAAAATAGTGTCGAAAAGCTGTTGGACCTGATGATATTCCAATAGAGGTTTGAAAATGCTTAGGAGATGAATGAATTTCTTGGCTTACTAAACTTTTTAATACTGTTTTGAAGACTAAAAAGATGCTAGATGAGTGCAGAATAAGTATGTTAATTTATATTTTAAGAATAAAGGCAATGCACAAGATTGTGCGAATTATAAAGGAATTAAGTTAATGTCATGCTTTAAAACTATGGGAGCGAGTTATGGAGCGCAAGTTGCGGCGTGATACTAATGTTTCTCAAAATCAATTTGGATTCATGTCGGGTAGATCTACTATGGAAGCCATATATTTATTGAGAGGTTTGATGGAGATATAGAGAGAATAAGGAGGATTTACATATGATATTTATTGATTTAGAGAAAACATATGATAAAAGTTCCAAAAGAAGTGTTATGGATAGTTCTTGAAAAGAAAGGAGTTAATAATGCTTATATTTAAATCATTAAAGATATGCATGCAAGAGCTATTACTTTTGTTCAAACACAAGATGGTTTGATAAAGTATTTTCCTATTTCGGTTGGATTATATCAAGGATCAGCCTTAAGCTCATATCTTTTTAACTTTAGTCATGGATGTTCTCACTAGATATTTGTAAGAGGATGTACCTTAGTGTATGCTTTTTGTTGATGATATTTTTCTTATTGATAAGACTAGAGAGGGAGTTGAAGGTAAACTTAAATTATGGAGGTCAAACTTAGAGTCTAAAGGTTTTCGCTTGAGTAGATCTAAAACTGAATATATAGAATATAATTTTAGTAGTAATAGACCTAGTGGGGGGGGATTGTGACTTTGGACGATCAAGTCATTAATAAGAGTACACGTTTTAGATATCTTGGTTCTATTATTGAGAGTGATGTTGAAATAAATGGGGATATCATCAATAAAATTCAAGTTATATGGTTTGAAGTGGAGGAATGCATGGGGCTTGTTGTGTGATAGAAAAGTTCCTTTCAAACTTAAGGGAAAATTCTATAAGATGATGGTGAGACCTGTAATGCTTTATGGTGCAGAATGTTGGCCATTAAAAGAGAAGCATAATATTAAGTTAAGTGTTGTAGAGATGAGGATGCTCGGGTGGATGAGTGGATTTACCCTTAGAGACAGGATACAAAACGAGCATATACGTGAACAGGTTGAAGTAGCTCCAGTGGAAGATAAGATTAGAGAGAGCCGCCTTATATTGTTTGGTCGCATAAAATGACGGCCTTTCGATGACCTGATTAGGAAAATAGAGGTATTAGATTTGACTTATATTAAGAACGATAGATGTAGTCCTAAAAAGACTTTATTAGAAAATATTAGAAATGATTTTTCTTTATTATATTTAAATGAGAATTTGACTTTTAACAGGACACAATGGAGAAAAAAGATTCATATAGCCGACCCGACGTAGTGGAACAAAGGCTTGATGTTGTTGTTGTTATCGAGTAACTTTGATGTCCCCTATTTAGCTTATTACAGGAATAAGCAATTGGACTTCCCTTGTTAATGTAAAAATTTATTGGAGTTGGCTAATTCACATAGATTGGTTAGTCAAAAGCTCTTTAATTTTGATAAAGGCTCTTGCGGTACCTGCGGTCCATCTAAATTCAACCCCCTTCAGGCATTGGGTGATATGAGTCATGATAGTGCTGAAACCTTGGATAAACCTCATTTAGCTTATTACAGGAGTAAGCAATTGGACTTCCCTGGTTAATGTAAAAATTTATTGGAGTTGGCTAATTCACATGGATAGGTTGGTCAAAAGCTCTTTAATTTCAGTAAAGGCTCTTGCGGTACCTGCAATACATCTTAATTCAACCCCCTTCAGGGATTGGGTGATATGAGTCATGATAGAGCTGAAGCCTTGGATAAACCTCAAGTAGAAGTTGGCTACTCCGTGAAAATTATGCACATCATGGATAGAGGCTGACATTGATCATTTCATAACAGCTTTAATTATATCGTGATCACCGGAGATGCCTTCATTCGAGATTACTAAGAAAAATAATGGAAACTATCATGAACTAGCAATTTTTGTATATAGATTTTGTCATGGTGCATCATCTCGAAAACATATCAAAGATGTCTAACATGGTTAGAGTTAGATTGACTAAAAATTAGAATATCATCAAAAC